TATTAAATCTTCTTTGAATGTTTGGTAGAATTCACTGTTGAAGCCATCTGGTCCTGGACTTTTACTTTTTGTAGGTTTTTGATGATTGTTTCCATTTCCATACTGCTGATCGGTCTGTTTAGATTTTCCAGTTCTTGATTCAGTCTAGGAAGGTCGTATTCTTCTGAGTACTGATTTGTTTCTTCTAGGTTATTAAATTCGGTGTTATATACTTTTTCATAGTATGCTTGTATGATCCTTTGTATTTCTGCGATATCAGTCGTAATTTCCCCTTTCATCTATAATTCATTTTGAATTGTTAATATTTTTATATGGTGTAAGTCAAGATTTTTTTTTTTTTTTTGCCTATGTTAGGAAGAGTGTCTTAAGCCCATTGAAAATCCTTGGCACCTTTAGGAAAAATGAATTGAACATATATATGTCTTCATTTATTTCTGGACTCTTTTATTGTTTATCTTTTTGTTTGTCTTTTGATTACTGTGGCTTTGTAATAAATTTTAAAGTCAGGTAGTATTAGTCCTCTAACTTTTTTCAAAATTGTTCTGACTATTCTATCATTTGTATATCCATATGAATTTCACAATCAGGTTGTAAATTTTTGTAGAAAAAAATCTCGGCATTTCTATTGAGATTTCATCAGATCTATAGAGCAATTTAGTGGAAAGTGGACATCTTAACAATACTGAACCACTGATCTGTGAACATGAGATATCTCAGTTATTTAGGCCTTCGTTAACGTCTCTCAGCAATGTTAGGTAGTTTTACTGTAAAGGTAATCCAATATTTTTTGTCAGCTTATCCCTAAAGATGCAGAATTTTTGATGCTGTAGTATTGTGTTGTAAACTTGTTTCCAATTTTTCACTTCTAGTGTATTAAATATTTGTTTCTGTATTTGATCTTGTATCCTACAACCTTGGTAAACTCATTCTAGCAGCTCTTTTTGGTAGTTTCAATGATTTTTTTATATAGATGATTATGTCTGCAAATTAAGACATTTTATGAAATAAAGAAGCTTCTTCTTTTCAATCTGGTTCTTTTATTTTTTCTGGCCTGTGGCATAAGCTAGGACCTCCAGTACAGTGTTAAATAGAAGTAGTGAGTGGACACATCGTGTTGGTCCTGAACTTAGGAAAAGCATTGTTTTTCATAGGTGCCCTATATCAGGTTGGGGAAATTCTCTTCTATTCCTGATGTGCTGTTTTTATCAGGAAAGGATCCTGGATTTTTTCAGATGCTTTTTCTCCATATATTGAGACAACCACATCTCTTCAGTCTATTTATATTGTGAATTACATTGATTGATTTTGGAATGGTAAACCAACTTTGTGTTCCTGGGATAAATTTCACTTGACCAGAATGTATTAAGGTCCTTTTTAAATATATTGTTGGATTTGATTTGCTAACCTTTTAAGAATTTCTGCATCTTAGGTTCATAAAGGATATTGGTCTGTAGTTTTTATTTTCTTGTAATACCTGTCTGGTTTAGGTTTCAGAGTCTGCTGGCCTCATAAAGTGACTTGGAAAGTATTTCATCCTATTCAGTGGTCTCAGAGAAATGTGGTAATTTGCGTTTTGTCTCTTAATTTTGATTTTTCTGGCTTGAAGTTTATCAATTTTATTGATTTTTCGTAGAACCAGCTTTCAGTTCCATTATCTGTTTTTCAAATTTGATTTCATTGATTTCTGCTCTCGTTTATTTTCTTCCGCTTGCTTTGGATTTCATTTGGTCTTTTTAAAATTTTTCTTAAAGAAGGTCCCTCTTTCCAATAGGTGTTTAGTGCTCTAAATTTTCTTCCAAGTATTGCTTTAGTTGCGTCCCCAGACT